CACTCATTCCTGTAACAGTTGGCAAAAAGTAAGCTGTGGCTGGTGATTTTCTGTAAATATAAATTGGTTCAATGACGACTGGGATAAGAAATGAATTTTCATTGTTTGAAATGTTAATTTATGCCGGAAAAAAAACAACTTTAGTGAATTTTAAAGATAAGATGTCTTAGATACCCATCAGCAGCTATGTATTATGCGATTTAAAAAAAAAATCAGTTTAAATTTAAGTTTTAACTTAAATTATATTAAAAAAATAAAAACACGTAGAAGTATTTTGTAAATGCTGGCTTAGCGCTACTACAGTTCATTTAAAAAAAGGTAATATCGATTATGAGATTTTCATTTGAAAATCATACATATGATAAAATCAACTGAGATGTAAAGTTTCTTTTTCCTCTTAGTTATAATAATATAAGTTAAAAGCGGCGTTAAATCCAACTCACTCACTCACTCACTATAATAATATAATAATAATAACAAACCTCTTTGCTGCATTTATTATTTTAATCTGTAAATAATATGAAAAGAGAACAATAGCATTTATGTTTGAAATTAATTTCAATGCGCCGAAATTAATTTCGGTACGAAACCTAAAATTCAAAAACATAAATTTACACTTTTGTTTCTATTTCAAACATAAATATAGGCGTTGCCCTCGCATTGACAAACGTTTGCTTCCGGAAGCTATTGGCTTACAATGGTGTTAATCTCCGTTTCGGACGTTAGTGAACGTTGTCATAGTGCTCATAATTGTATCTCTGTCGTGTAATTGTCTAGTAATTTCATATTTCAAGTACCCGATCCGCTTTCATTAAAATGTACCAAATATAGAGATGGCTAACCCCTGGCGGGAACTTGACTTCATATGATCTTCAAGAGACATTGAGTGTGTGTCACGTGGCCAGTCCAGACAGACTTTGAGATATAGAACGTTTCTATGTATTCTTTGTTGGTGTAAGGTTAATTCAGATATCTAAACAATATAAATATGAGGGATAACCACGGATTAAACCATTAGGATTATGTCACGCTATTGTTGTTGCAGTTGGTTTTGAGTCAGGAATTCACTGGCCATTCTGAACGTGCAATTTAACAAGTAAAACTGACGCTACAGATCATAATTCAATCTCATATATATATCAACCGTTATATGGTTTAACCCCCCCGAAACGAGCAGAATTAACTCGCCCTTTGGGGGTTCGTTCCTTCGACTTTCTGAATCAACAGATTTCCTGATTTCTTCATGACAAAACACCCGTGTATGTGCGATCAGCAGCTGCTGGACTGTTTGCCGAACAGTTTAACCCTATATGATAGAGTATAAGAAGAATGGCGTAGATATGTGGTGGCTATGTAATCAAGAGCTACCCTAATCACGTAGTTCCTCCCACGTGGATGGCAGTACGCATGTGTGTGTAGCGTGTACATTGCAGGTCGCAGTGCAGGCTGGGATGCGAGACATCATCTCGCGCACACTGCCCTGATTATACCCGCTGTCGAATGTGTACACGAAACGGAATCCTTGTTGGCCATAAGCCCCAATAGTATCCTCTAGTTACTTTTTAACTGAACATTCTCTTTTATTATGTATGTTGACACCACCTCATTTGTTCATTTCACGTTGTAGTGCGGTGTGACATGGTAAGGATAAGATTTGTGGATGAACAACTTCTGTACTACAATAAGGAGCGACGTTTTGGTGTAGGTTCTAACACTGCTATCAAGCAAGTTAGTACCTACACCAAAACGTCGCTCCTAATTGTAATAAAGAAGTTGTTCTTCCATAAATCTTATCCTTACTTAGTACTCCAACTTCTAAATGCCCCTTAAAGAAATCTGTTTCATAGGTGTTTCACTTGAAGTTGTCCCACAGCTCACATGAATTGTCGTCTTCCCACACCCAATACGTCCAAGTCACAGTCACATTATAACTTGTTTCATACACAACCATTTATTACATGTTAGTAAAATGACCTCTGATCTCATATGTCAACGGAATACCGTTATCTATGTTGTACCGCTGCCCAGTTTCCCCTATAGTGGGGGCAATATTTCTTATCTTGTTTTCGTCTTGGTAAAGGGGCGAGGTGAGACTCGAAAGGGCTAATGAACCGATTTCCGTTTCCGCTATATCCTATTACGCAGGGTTCGTATAGGCCCGTCTGTTCTCATGCAACTCTTGTATTGAAATATACTCGGTAAAACATTTAGACTTCTTTCTTCGAAGCAGGTGTAAAAATGATAGAGAATCTATTAAATTGAGCATTCAGTGTTGAAGACCTCTCACAATTCCACGCTTTATTGGGTGTACTTCCGCTTTGAGGGCGAGGAGTAATTATAGCCCATGGTTTACATAAGCTAGCGCTGCATGTGGGGACAACGTGGTCCATACGACCGCTGCTGACGCTGGGAGAAGGCGTCACTGTGTTCACGGCGTATATACCAGACTCTGCATCAACATGCATCACAACTGGCCCTGATAATGATAAACATATACTGATGATAGTTATGATGCTTATGTTGAAAGTGACAGTGGTGATGGTGGTCGGTGGGATGTTGTTGGTATTGAGTGGCAGTGGTGATGGTGGTCGGTGGGATGTTGTTGGTATTGAGTGGCAGTGGTGATGGTGGTCGGTGGGTTGTTGTTGGTATTGAGTGACAGTGGTGATGGTGGTCGGTAGGATGTTGTTGGTATTGAGTGACAGTGGTGATGGTGGTCGGTGGGATGTTGTTGGTATTGAGTGACAGTGGTGATGGTGGTCGGTGGGATGTTGTTGGTATTGAGTGACAGTGGTGATGGTGGTCGGTGGGATGTTGTTGGTATTGAGTGGCAGTGGTGATGGTGGTCGGTGGGATGTTGTTGGTATTGAGTGGCAGTGGTGATGGTGGTCGGTGGGTTGTTGTTGGTATTGAGTGACAGTGGTGATGGTGGTCGGTAGGATGTTGTTGGTATTGAGTGACAGTGGTGATGGTGGTCGGTGGGATGTTGTTGGTATTGAGTGACAGTGGTGATGGTGGTCGGTGGGATGTTGTTGGTATTGAGTGACAGTGGTGATGGTGGTCGGTGGGATGTTGTTGGTATTGAGTGACAGTGGTGATGGTGGTCGGTAGGATGTTGTTGGTATTGAGTGACAGTGGTGATGGTGGTCGGTAGGATGTTGTTGGTATTGAGTGACAGTGGTGATGGTGGTCGGTAGGATGTTGTTGGTATTGAGTGACAGTGGTGATGGTGGTCGGTAGGATGTTGTTGGTATTGAGTGACAGTGGTGATGGTGGTCGGTAGGATGTTGTTGGTATTGAGTGACAGTGGTGATGGTGGTCGGTAGGATGTTGTTGGTATTGAGTGGCAGTGGTGATGGTGGTCGGTGGGATGTTGTTGGTATTGAGTGGCAGTGGTGATGGTGGTCGGTGGGATGTTGTTGGTATTGAGTGACAGTGGTGATGGTGGTCGGTGGGATGTTGTTGGTATTGAGTGACAGTGGTGATGGTGGTCGGTAGGATGTTGTTGGTATTGAGTGACAGTGGTGATGGTGGTCGGTAGGATGTTGTTGGTATTGAGTGACAGTGGTGATGGTGGTCGGTGGGATGTTGTTGGTATTGAGTGACAGTGGTGATGGTGGTCGGCAGGATGTTGTTGGTATTGAGTGACAGTGGTGATGGTGGTCGGTAGGATGTTGTTGGTATTGAGTGACAGTGGTGATGGTGGTCGGTAGGATGTTGTTGGTATTGAGTGACAGTGGTGATGGTGGTCGGTAGGATGTTGTTGGTATTGAGTGGCAGTGGTGATGGTGGTCGGTGGGATGTTGTTGGTATTGAGTGACAGTGGTGATGGTGGTCGGTAGGATGTTGTTGGTATTGAGTGACAGTGGTGATGGTGGTCGGTAGGATGTTGTTGGTATTGAGTGACAGTGGTGATGGTGGTCGGTAGGATGTTGTTGGTATTGAGTGGCAGTGGTGATGGTGGTCGGTGGGATGTTGTTGGTATTGAGTGACAGTGGTGATGGTGGTCGGTAGGATGTTGTTGGTATTGAGTGACAGTGGTGATGGTGGTCGGTAGGATGTTGTTGGTATTGAGTGACAGTGGTGATGGTGGTCCGTGGGATGTTGTTGGTATTGAGTGGCAGTGGTGTACGTGGATGATGGAAGGGTGAGGATGGTGATGGTGGCTGGTATGTTGTATTGATGGTGGTATTGATGTTGCGATTATGCACATAGAAGATGGAAGCGTGATGATGGTGATGGTTGTTGTTGGTATGATGTTGTTAGTGTTGATATCGCGATGGTATACGTCGAAGATGGAAGGGTGAGAATGTTGTGTGAGATGGTGATATGGTTGAGGATGGTAGTGGTGGTGTTAAGTCAGGGAGTGTGTGAGATGGTAATGTCGTTGACGGCGAGGGTGGTAGTGGTGGTGTTAAGTCAGGGAGTGTGTGAGATGGTAATGTCGTTGACGGCAAGAATGGTAGGGGTGGTGTTAAGTCAGGGAGTGTGTGAGATGGTAATGTCGTTGACGGCAAGGATGGTAGGGGTGGTGTTAAGTCAGGGAGTGTGTGAGATGGTAATGTCTTGACGGCGAGGATGGTAGGGGTGGTGTTAAGTCAGGGAGTGTGTGAGATGGTGATGTCGTTGACGGCAAGGGTGGTAGTGGTGGTGTTGTCAGGGAGTGTGTGAGATGGTGATGGTATGGATGGTAATATTGACAATGTGGCACCAAAGGCTGCATTGATTTTGGTAGTGTTGATGCCGGTATTGTTGATGATGAAGATTATAATGAAGGGTAGATGGTTGTGGTGGTTGTGTAGTGTGTGGCAAGTGGTCTGTGGTTGCACAGATGGTAGTGCTGGTGATGTCGGTGACGATGGTGCTCACAGATGACAACGTTGATGATGGTTGGTTATATTGGTTAAGGGGATAATTTCAGGACGGTCCTGTTTGAATCGAAATGTTAACATTACAAATGTGACAGTACAAGACTAATATGGTTGTCTTTCTGCTTACAGCGACACTGCCGTGCACCGTCACCCAGTCCGGCTCCCCCGCCACGGCATCAACCCCTCCACGCCCCGAGGGTGAGAAAACGAAGACCCCCTCAACAAGCTCCGACTCTTCAGGAGAATGTCAACTTCTTAAACAAAGACAAAAGAGGAAACCCCGCGTGTTGTTTTCCCAGGCGCAGGTCTACGAGTTGGAAAGACGGTTCAAACAGCAGAGGTATCTCTCCGCCCCGGAAAGAGAACAATTAGCTTCCATGTTGAAACTGACATCAACCCAAGTTAAAATCTGGTTTCAGAACAGACGATACAAATGCAAAAGACAACGACAGGATAAGAGTTTGGAACTATCAGCCATGCAGCCCCCAAGGAGGGTGGCTGTACCGGTACTCGTGAGGGATGGGAAACCGTGCATGGGACAAAATATGACTCCTCCCTATTCTGCTCCGTACAATGTTAATCCCTTTGCCTATTCTTCTCCCAGTTATAACACAGTCCCTAACCACATGGCCCAGGTGAACCAAATACAACAGAATGGATATGTCCAGCAGCCAATACACCAAGGCATTAGGGCATGGTAGGGACGGGTTCGTCTCAAAAGTAATGACACGTAATACGGTACCCTAAGGGGGTCACTACCTACTCAGGTAATTCAAAGCTTGAATCCAGCCCGAGGTTTGTTTGACTGCACTATTGTACATAAACTCCATACAGCGCCTTTGTGATGGAGTGTAGAGCTCGGGTCTGGCACTTCGGGCCATGCAAAAGTAATGACACACCGCAGACAATCAGCACCTTCGACAGGACTGTTCGACACTCGGATCCTTGAATCCATTTCCGGTTGCCGTCGATAACAAATGCAGAATGTGCCGAGGGGGCCGGGTGTGTTGTTTTAACAGACAAATTTGTCTTTAAGAGAAATGTCATCTGAATTGTCAGACACGGAACAACTGGACTGCGAGGGGACATAAACCCGTTATCATGTATGTCAATATTAAAGCAGTGTTTACGTTGCAAGTTTGTAATCTGTTGGTCCACGGTTTGCACTGTGTCCTTCTGACTAGTACACGTACTTCGAGACAACTAGACAACGTAGAACCAAATCTACTTGTGATGTACATGTTAGCTGTTTAGATCTCAATAGCAACTACAGGGTATTTATGTCTATCTTGAGTAATAATTCTAAACTACTTTCACCATTCAGCGAGAAAAATATTGACGAAGACTCGTTTCACAATGTGTGAACAAGATGTACATGTTTGTGTATTATAGCTCATTATCATCTCATCTGAATAAATGTTTATTTATCACGTGTGTGTCTTTGACTTTTATTCTGATCCATGTAGTCAATGTTAAAACAACATTTAGGTTATTGACCACTGATCAGGTGATTCAGAAACCCGCACAAAAATGGCATTTCCAATTGGACATTGTTTACAACATCTGAAGGATTCGTGGACATTGTTCACAACATTTGATAGATTCGCGGACATTTTTCAGAATATGTGATAGATTCGTGGTCATTGTTGACAACATCTGAAGGATTCGTGGACATTGCAATTGTTGACAACATCGGACTGTTTCGTGATAGATTCGAGAAGGTGGATGTCTCAGTGGGTGGATATGGCGTTTGTGTTAGTTGTAAGGGGGTGGCTATGGCGTTGTGTCGATGGGTTCGATGTAGCGTTGTGTAGTTGGGTTCGATCTGGCGTTGTGTCGATGGGTTCGATGTAGCGTTGTGTCGATGGGTTCGATGTGGCGTTGTGTAGTTGGGTTCGATGTGGCGAAGTGTCGATGGGTTCGACGTGGCGTTGTGTAGTTGGGTTCGACGTGGCGTTGTGTAGTTGGGTTCGACGTGGCGTTGTGTAGTTGGGTTCGATGTGGCGAAGTGTCGGTGGGTTCGATGTGGCGTTGTGTAGTTAGGTTCGATGTAGCGAAGTGTCGGTGGGTTCGATGTGGCGTTGTGTAGTTGGGTTCGATCTGGCGTTGTGTCGATGGGTTCGACGTGGCGTTGTGTAGTTGGGTTCGATGTGGCGAAGTGTCGGTGGGTTCGATGTGGCGTTGTGTAGTTGGGTTCGATGTGGCGTTGTGTAGTTGGGTTCGATGTGGCGTAGAATCGGTTGGTTCGTGGTTCGATGTGGCGTTGTGTAGTTTGGGTTCAATATGGCGTTGTGTAAGTAGGTTCGATTTGGCATTGTGTCGATGGGTTCGATGTGGCGTTGTGTCGATGTGGTGTTGTATCGATGTGGCGTTGTGTCGATGGGTCCGATGTGGCGTTGTGTCGATGTGGTGTTGTGTTCGATGGGTTCGATGTGGCGTTGTGTTGTGGGTTCGATGTGGCGTTGTATCGGTGGGTTCGATGTGGCGTTGTGTTGGTGGGTTCGATGTGGCGTTGTGTTGGTGGGTTCGATGGGGCGTTGTGTCGGTGGGTTCGATGGGGCGTTGTGTAGTTGAGTTAAATATGGTGTAGTGTCGGTGGGTTCGATGTGGCGTTATGTTGGTGGGTTTGATGTGTCGTTGTGTTGTGGGTTCGATAGGACATTGTGTAGTTGAGTTCAATATGGCGTTTTGTCGGTGGGTTCGATGTGGCGTTGTGTTGTGGGTTCGATGTGGCGTTGTGTCGGTGGTTTCGATGGGGCGTTGTGTAGTTGGGTCCGATGTGGCGTTGTGTAGTTGGGTTCAATATGACGTAGTGTAGTTGGGTTCGATGTAGCGAAGTGTCGGTGGGTTCGATGGGGCGTTGTGTAGTTGGGTCCGATGTGGCGTTTCGTAGTTGGGTTCGATGTGGCGTTGTGTAGTTGGGTTCGATGTGGCGTTGTGTCCATGGTTCGATGTGGCGTTGTGTCGGTGGGTTCGATGTGGCGTTGTGTTGTGGGTTCGATGTGGCGTAGTGTCGATGTGGCGTTGTGTAGCTGGGTTCAATATGGCGTTGTGTCGATGTTGCGTTGTGTTGTGGGTTCGATGTGGTGTAGTGTCGATGTTTCGTTGTGTTGTGGGTTCGATGTGGTGTAGTATCGATGTGGCGTTGTGTAGTGGGTTTGATGTTGGCGTTGTGTCGATGTGGCGTTGTGTCGTGGGTTTGATGTGGTGTAGTGTCGATGTGGCGTTGTGTTGGTGGGTTTGATGTGGCGTAGTGTCGGTGGGTTCGATGTGGCGTTCTGTAGTTGGGTTCAATATGGCGTTGTGTAGTTGGGTTCGATCTGGCGTTGTGTCGAAGTGGCGCTGTGTTGTGGGTTTGATGTGGCGTAGTGTCGGTGGGTTTGATGTGGCGTAGTGTCTGTGGGTTCGATGTGGCGTTGTGTCGGTGGGTTCAATATGGCGTTGTGTAGTTGGGTTCGATGTGGCGTAGAATCGGTTGGTTCGTGGTTCGATGTGGCGTTGTGTAGTTTGGGTTGAATATGGCGTTGTGTAAGTAGGTTCGATTTGGCATTGTGTCGATGGGTTCGATGTGGCGTTGTGTCGATGTGGTGTTGTATCGATGTGGCGTTGTGTCGATGGGTCCGATGTGGCGTTGTGTCGATGTGGTGTTGTGTTCGATGGGTTCGATGTGGCGTTGTGTTGTGGGTTCGATGTGGCGTTGTATCGGTGGGTTCGATGTGGCGTTGTGTTGGTGGGTTCGATGTTGCGTTGTGTTGATGGGTGCGATGGGGCGTGGTGTAGTTGGGTTCGATGTGGCGTTGTGTCGGTGGGTGCGATGGGGCGTTGTGTAGTTGGGTTCGATGTGGCGTTGTGTTGGTGGGTTCGATGGGACATTGTGTAGTTGGGTTCAATATGGCGTTTAGTCGGTGGGTTCGATGTGGCGTTGTGTCGGTGGGCTCGATGTGGCTTTGTGTAGTTGGGTTCAATATGGCGTAGTGTCGGTGGGTTCGATGTGGCGTTGTGTTGGTGGGTTCGATGTGGCGTTGTGTTGGTGGGTTCGATGTGGCGTTGTGTTGGTGGGTTCGATGGGGCGTTGTGTCGGTGGTTTCGATGGGGCGTTGTGTAGTTTGGTTTGATGTGGCGTAGTGTCGGCGTAGAATAGACATGGCTTTGTGAGTAAGGTCGACATATAATTTGTTCATGGTTGAGCGTTAGTAGAATCGACATTGTGTTAGAAGAGTCGGTAGAAAGTTGTATTAGTAGTAGTTAGTAAGAGGGAGAAACCGTTTCACATAATTTAATATCGCATAAAATCATTGTTTGGCAGCACAGCGGATTGCACAAACATGAAAGTGATACATCACAGGACCTTCACATGTCTTCCTTCTCGTGAAACATGAAAGCGATACATCACAGGACCTTCACGTGTCTTCCTTCTTGTGAAACATGAAAGTGATACATCACAGGACCTTCACGTGTCTTCCTTCTTGTGAAACATGAAAGCGATACATCACAGGACCTTCACATGTCTTCCTTCTTGTGAAACATGAAAGCGATACATCACAGGACCTTCACGTGTCTTCCTTCTTGTGAAACATGAAAGCGATACATCACAGGACCTTCACGTGTCTTCCTTCTTGCCAAACATGAAAGTGATACATCACAGAACCTTCACATGTCTTCCTTCTTGTGAAACATGAAAGTGATACATCACAGGACCTTCACATGTCTTCCTTCTTGTGAAACATGAAAGTGATACATCACAGGACCTTCACATGTCTTCCTTCTTGTGAAACTTGAAATAATAAAAGTACATCAACATCAAATACTCGTGCATTCATTGTGATCCGGGGAATCAGCTGGCCTTTACTTTTACTCACTAGATATGGCCGTAGATAGAAATAGACATGGAACATATATCAAACGGTTGTCGGGACCAGGGCGTGACTGCACGAGTTCCGCGTGCTGTTTGTTTATTGCAGATCATAATGCTGTACAAGGACACTGGGTCAAAGTCCACACTCCGGTTAAAACTTGAAGACTCATAGTCGTGGACTCATCGCTAGGAAATGTGGCAAGAAAAGCCTTCCACACTGTAGTGGTTGTGGAAGTGGCCACAGGCAACCACGTTCTCACATCAGCGGTTGTTATTCACACGAGGTTGTGTCAAAACACAAATACATACTCATCATAATGAGTAGACAGATGTCACTACAACTTGTCTGCAGCAGTTGTGATTTTATGAACGCCATCGACTCTACAGCGCGGACAACGGCCACAGACGGTGAGGGTACGAGCCTACACAAATAAAGCCAGAACTTAACTGAGAATTAGGGGGCTGTCCATCCAAGCTATATGTACGCATGTGTGGCCGACCCTATCCCATTCATCTTGCAGATTCATCATGGGTTGAGAAAAGGTCAAAGGTTGAAATCAAAGTTCATTGAACAGCATCAGACAGGTGATTTGGGGCCCTGGTATGACGAAGGTTGTGTCATGGACGGTGGTCTCTGTGTGGCCTACTGAACTAGGTGTGCAGTCCACACCACCATCATTTCCATCACAACTCTGCTGTACTAAAGTCTTTAACCGAGCTGATCAGAGGAACATACAATTGTGACGTTGATGAAAACATGTCCATTTATTACACCAGAATACCTTGATCCATTATAGATAAAACTACTTGTCATGTGATCAAAATCCGACATCAAATAGACCAAAACTACCACGTTTACAGCAAAGACAGGATAGTATGTGAATGACAACTTCTTTATTCAATTATGAAGAGACTTTTCGGTATAGATCCTTATACCGTTGTCAAGCTTTTGCCACACTCCCCCTTCACAAAGCTACAAGGATCTATACCGAAACGTCGCTTCATAATTGAACAAAGAAGTTGTCATCCATGAAATATATTGTCTTTACTCTTAATTACCAACTTCTAAAAACTCCAATCAAACTGTTCACAAGTTTACAATAACTTCACTTAATACATGTAACTATTAATCCCTAAACGTATTGAATACGACATATAATTATATTTCTTAGTTATCAGGTCCACCTGTCTCCCCTCCCTGCCGTCCCCCAGTCAGATCTACCAAGGAGGTGCCTCACTGTTAAGTCTACGCTCCATCCTAAGACCCCCATTCCGCCGCGACAACAGGAGCGATGAGACGTTCCCCAACACTATTAGTAATGGTGCACATTGCATCTCGGGTCGGAGATAACATAAATACTTTCTCGCATTGTAGACACAGTGGCGGTTCTCCGCTAGAATTGTTGCTGTTCGTCGCGCCCTCCTTCCGAATCCTATCTGTCTCTTTCTCTGGTTTGTTTCACAGCTTCCCCCGATATTCTCTCGGCATAGTCCGGTTTTCCGACTCTCGCCCCAAGCGGGCCTGTAGCTCCGTGTATTACCTCGCCGTAATTACTACAAACAACACAGATTACT